CTTTGCAACAACTTAAGGGTTGCCGGATAGTTCAGCAGCTGCAGAGTACCTGGCTGCAGAGCCAGAGGTTGGGGGTTTGCTTCCCCATTCGGTTTCCTGCAGGTAGAGCCAGCCTGGGTGGCCTTGGGCAAGCGGCATAGACCCAGGGCACCCCAGAAGAAGGGAACCACTTCTGAGGATGCTCTACCTAGAAAAAAAAACCCCAAAGTGGTCGTAAGTCAGAATGAGCTGGCTGGATAACACAGTGGTTTAGGTGAAGGTTGGGAGTTCGATTCCCCCCCACGGTGCCTCCTGGGAGAAGAGCCAGCCTGGGTAGCCTTGGGCAAGCTGCACAGTCCCAGGGCGCCCCTAGTGGAAGAGAATGGGAAAGCACTTCTGAGTATTCTCTAACTGCAAAACACTGAACTCAAAATTGACTTGATGGCGCGTAATTATTATGCTAAGGGACGTGGTGGCGCTGTGGGCTAAACCGCAGAAGCCTCTGTGCTGCAAGGGCAGAAGACCAGCAGTCGTAAGATCGAATCCACGCGACGGACTCCGTCGCTTTGTCCCAGCTCCTCGCCAACCTAGCCGTTCGAAAGCATGTAAATGCGAGTACAGTAGATAAATAGGTACCACCTCGGTGGGAAGGTAAAACGGGGTTCCCTAGTCACGCTGGCCACGTGACAATGGAAACCATGACAGTACTGAAAATGTCAAGGGGAACCTTTACCTTTGCCTTTAATTATTATGCTGTTATAACAGGAATAGGGGCAAATGGAAGGAGAGAGAGCATCGCCATTTACTTTCTGCTCATGGCGGTGTATATAATTCAAGAGTTCGAACCTAGAGGGAACCACATCTGTGTTGCTAGAAAACATTCACAAGTCTTTGATCCTGACCATCTCTTTCTTCTGAAGTTGGTTTGAAATTGACGCAGTTTGAAATTGATGCAGTTTGATCCGAGATACACCTTTCTTCCTCCCCGAGGGCTTTTCGCTAAGAGCGACACCCTAGCAACTGACTGACGTCTGTTATTATTATTATTTTTTAAGGGACCCACTATTTATCCATCACATCCCAAGCGTAAGGCTCCTTGCCACCTCCAGGCAGGTTGAAATGGATGAGGGGGGGATGAGCTTGTGGGGGAGGGAGGGAGGGAGGAAAGGGGAAAGCCAGCCCTTCAAAACCAGATCTCCAGCTTCTCATCTCCTAAGTAGGGAAAGGTTATCAGGAAGGATAAACGGTTTCCCCTTTGACCTTCTCTAGACACTGATGGATGGGAAGCCACTCCACAGGATCTCTGCTCTTGTCAGC